AACATACAAGAAAACAGGATGCTTTAGAAGAATCCTGAAGATTCAAGTCCCTTTATCTTCAATCCATATAGGTAGGTTACTCCAAAGCTATAACTTTTTAAAATTTTTAAATCCTTCATCTTGAATTTAGTATTGGGTTAAATATTCTCTCTCTCCAAAGCCATTCTCCCACTCCACAAAATGATACAAATGAAAACATCCATAGCAGATGCCATCTAGAAGGATACTATTGTATTCTGAGATATTTGTCCTGCACTAGAGGAGAATGCAAATCTACAGTTTCAAAAAGTATTCTAAACTAAGTAATTTTTACATTTTAGATTTTCTTTTTGTCTACCTCTCCACCTTTGATTCTAGAAGGTGGCTTTTTCTTTAACAACAAAAGGCTAATACCTCTTCCTTTCACTGCATTATCCTATATAATAAAAGGCTAATATGCAAATTGACCGAACGGCGGAATGACCGGTTGCTATGACATGCACTGACCATCAGGGGGCAGACATTCAATCCAGGAGCTGCCCCCTGGTTGTCAGTGTGCTCCCACAGGGGGAGTGCCGCTCAGCCAGAAGCTGGGCTACGGCTGGTGAACGTAGAGCGAATGTAACGGTGGTGGCAGGAACCTCTTCCGCCTCCTCGGCAGCACTAAGGATGTCCGACTGCCTAAGCTGTTGGTCGGACATCCCCCAAGGGCTCCTGGACTGCAAGAGGGCGCAGGCCAGGCTGAGGGATCCCCCCGAGTGCATGAATTTCATGCCACTGGGCCTCTAGTTTAAACATAAAAGCTGTTTGATTGCACAGAGGAAAAATGCATTCCCTACGAGGATATAATATCCATGCAAAGAAATGAATAGACCATAAAAAATGCATAATCACCTATATTTGTCCCTCTTCCTGTAGAGGGTGAGAGTGAGATCAGAAGAGCATGGAAAGGAGACAAAAAAATGAGTTGTATTCTTAGAAAATAAACTAATATAACAAGCATTTTCCTGATCTCCAGGTTGGAGAAGAAACAACCCTACAATAGTAATGAATTCATTGGTTTCTAGCTGACCCCCCACAGCACAATAATTGGAATCTCAGCTCATGCAGAGCTTCCTTTCTCCTTTAAGGCAGGATAGCAGTAGTTATGTGGGTAGGAGATGGAGAGGACACTCAGGAGTCTCAGTGGCTGCTACAGCCACTAGTATTCCAACTTGCCCTAGTCACTGCCTATATTCTTTCTTATCTAGAGCCAAAGTGAAATTCCTGAAGTTAGGGCTAGTATCTTCCTCCTCTATGATCTTTTCCAATCACACCGTCATCCTGCTCTGGGGCCTCCAACCACCATGTGCACAGAAGAAGGAGCAAGTAGCTGCTTCTATCCTTTATATGGTTCCCTAGAGGCTGAGTGGGAACAGAGACCTTGAGGGCTCTCCTCTCTTCTGGAAAAGCCCCAGAAGATCTAAAGCAGCCAACCCTCTTCCAGAGAAAGTCATCCCTTTGCCTCCAGCCAAACTTCCTTCCACTCATTCACAGATTTCTGCTCTTCTCCCCATGTACTGCATATGAATGATTTCCATGAATATCCATAAAACTAATTTATTGAAAAATTAGTTTTTTTCATTCTCCTAGGGTAGATTCTTTTTTTTTAAATTTCAGCTTTACTGAGGTATAATTGACAAAAGTGTAAAATATTTAAAGTGCAGCATTGTGATGATGTGATATACATATACATTGTAAAAAGATCCTCCCCATCTGGTTAATTAACATATCCATCACTTCACATATTTATTCTTTTTTTTTCTTCTGGTGACAACATTTAAGATTCGCTCTTTTAACAATTTTACAACACACTAGAGGCCTGGTGCACAAATTCGTGCACCAGTGGGTCCCTTGGCCTGGCCAGATCAGGCTGAAACTGGCTCTCCAACATCCCCTGAGTGGGTCCCAGATTGCTAGAGGGCACAGGCCAGGCCGAGGGACCCCACCAGTGCATGATTGGGGCTGGGGAGGGACAGTGGGAGGGCTCGCTCAGTCCTGATGGGCTGGACCCCAGCAGCAAGCTAACCTACTGGTCAGAGCGTCTGCCCCCTGGTGGTCAGTGCATGTCATAGAGTGGTTGAGCAGCCTTAGCATATCATTAGCATATTACGCTTTGATTGTTTGAATGGACAAGTGGACACTTAGCATATTAGGCTTTTATTATATAGGACTAGAAGCCCGGTGCACAAAACTCATGCACTGGGGGGAGGGTGTCCTCAGCCCAGCCTGCACCCTTTCCAATCTGGGACATCCCTCTCACAATCTGACACCGCTGGCCCCTAACCACTCGCCTGCCTGCCTGCCTGATTGCCCCAAACTACTTCTGCCTACCAGCCTGATCACCCCCTAACCACTCCCCAGACAGCCTGATTGACGCCTAACTGCTCCCCTGCTGGCCCGATCGCCCCCAACTGCCCTCCCCTGCTGGCCTGGTTGCCCCTAACTGCCCACCCCTGCAGGCCTGGTCCCCCCCAACTGCCCTCCCTCCCCTGCAGGCCCAGTCGCCCCCAACTGCCCTCTCCTGCTGGCCTGGTTGCTCCTAACTAACCTTCCTTGCAGGTCAGGTCGCCCCCAAGTGCCCACCCCTGCAGGCCTGGTCCCCCCCCCAACTTCCCTCCCTCCCCTTCAGGCCCAGTTGCCCCCAAGTGCCCTCCCCTGCAGGCCCAGTCGCCCCAACTGCCCTCCCCTGCTGGCCTGGTTGCTCCTAACTAACCTTCCTTGCAGGCCTGGTTGCCCCCAAGTGCCCTCCCCTGCAGGCCTGGTCACCCCTAATTGCCCTCCCCTGCTGGCCTGATCGCCCACAACTGCCCTCCCCTGCTGGCCATCTTGTGGCAGCCATCTTTTGACCACATGGGGGCAGCCATCTTGTGACCACATGGGGGTGGCCATCTTGTGCGAGGGCATGATGGTCAATTTGCATATTACCTCCTTATTATATAGGATAGTTTATCAACTATAGTTACCATGTTTTACATCAGAACATCAGACATTATTTTTTTATTGCTGAAAGTTTGTTCTTCGAGTAGAATCTGCATTTTATGCCTAACCCCCATAGTCCTGGGGCCGATGATTTATACATGACTGTCAATCAATGCTTGGTGAATGAGTGAATGCATACATAAATGAATGAGTGAATATAGCTAACCAAATTTCATATTTCTGTTATCCCAAGATTAAAGAGAAAGTTCTTCAGAGATTGACTTTATCTTCTACTCTCCTTTACATCAGGTTAACTTCTATTTCAAATAGTTGTCCAGATGCCATACCACTTCCTTTGAAGAAAATTCAAAGTGTGGATTTCAATTTGTTTGCTCTACAAATAATTTCTTTTTCAAGTTTAAGTCTTCAAATTGGAAAGGAGCTCTTCAATCTCCTTTGATGTGAGGGTGCGAATGGGGAGACAAGAAAAGAGAAAAAAGTGTGGGAAATACTCCTTGAAGAAACAAAATGGAGGAGGATCTAATACCTTTAAAAAACCAGCCAAGTATAAATAACTACTTTTGCCTCCTGAAGAGAAAAAGCAAAACAAATCTGACTTAAATGAATGAAAGCTCTGGCAATAAAAAGCAATCCAGGTAATCTGCAAATACATATACCCAAGTAATTATTTCTAAGGAGGAAACCATTAAAATTAGAATCACATTTCACTACATGTGTTCAACTTCATAAAGATATTCTTCATGTGGATTTTCACTCGCTGGTCTCTCTAAGACAAAAGCAGTCAAAACAATAAGTCCATCCAAATCCAGAGGACTGCAGCGCAGACTGAACAAAATAAATCTTGTAGAATACTATACAAGGAGCTGGTACATATTCTGTCAATGATGATGCTGCCTGCTGATAATGAACTCACTAATGATTGTCAGCTGAGATATGATGTCAGTGCTGCCCCTGCTTATCACACACTAGACAAAGAATATAACCTTTCTACCCTGTCTGTCATCTGCAAATGTTGACAATAAATGAGTGTTCATGTGAATTCATCAGTTAATGTTTTCAAGAACTAGAGAAATGAGCACCACTTCAGCTATTCGTGAGTCACAATAATGACTTCATGCCATTCCAGACTTCTCATCAATGCTGAATGAAGTGCAATCAGGTAAATCAATATAATAATCAAATGAGATTCTAAAATAGTGATCACCTTCATTGTGTCATGAAGGTAAAGAAGACAGTTAAGGAGCTGTGGTGATATATAATTGAGAGGCACAGCTTACTTGAAGAGAGAGCTTCCATTAATGAAACGTCAACAAAATTTATAGAGTGCCTATTATGCAGTAAACATTCTGAAGTTGACAGAAACAAGATTTCTCATTGAGGTTTGTAGAACCTAGGTTAGCCATGGCTAGCAAAGGCAGTTATTCTTATGGAAGATATATTTAACGTTTAAAAAAGTAAATTTAAGTCATTCTGTAACTTTAGCCTGATTCCATGGGTAAGTTGCAATAATTCGGCAACTTTGCTGGGGGTCAGATGAGATAAATAAAATTAATAACATCTCATGAAATGTAGGTAAGATGATCTAGCTGATTCTCCAGCCAAGTAATTACACTATTTGGCTTAAGATTATCAACAGCTAGGATGTATTAGGTCTATGTATATGGGGGAATAAAGGTACAGTGGCAGCGCCAATGCTAAGCAGTTGTCACAGGGAAAAAGATACTACTCACCAGAAAAAGAAAAAGAATCCTCCCCCCGCCCCCAGCAAAAACAATCATATTCTCTTTTGAGGGAGGCTTACTCAAGCTCCCAGGATACAAAATTTTTCTATTTTTTTATAGATATGCTTTGAGGGGAGCTTATTATGCATATAAATATACCATACTATTGTATATACATTCATTCTAAGTCACTTATTTGCCTTCCCAGGTATTTTGCTGAGTGAGGTCAAATAGATGAAATAATAGGCACTATCCCAGTTGCGTTTAAAAGCCAAAAAGCTTTCACTCAATCACCAAAGACTGTATAAAATCATATACCTACGTACATTGGAATCACTAAAGATTTCTGATTCTTCACATTCACAGCAAAGTAATGCTGCTGATTCACTGTCTTCCAACTGAGAACTCTGTAATACAAATAAGATTGTTTCAGAGATCCAGACGAATGGGGCAACAAGCATGATGGGAAAAGCCAGCAGAAATCACTGATTCAGTGTTAGCTCATAGGTGAGAAGCTGCAATTCTGATTAGCAATCACTATTTTGGAAAGAAAAAGCCAACAGGTGATTGTTTAGGTGATTGAAAAGTTAATTATGTTTGATTAGCTGAAGCATTTCTGTGGTTTCCAATTTATAGGCAATGGGATGTTCTGTAAAAATGGTGCTACTAACTCTTCATAGTATGTACTCTGGACTCTTCTCAGAATGGGTAGGATTGTGCTCATTTATCTTCATATTCAAAGGTACATGTTTGATATGACTGTTTAGACACAGGCTTTAAAATATAGCACATGATTGGGGGGTGATCTAACCACTAGTTTCATTAGCCCTCTGCTAGCAAGTGTTTATAAGACAAGCCAAAAGACATGCCCTATTCAAGTCTCTCTGACAGATTCCAAAAACACAATTTAAAACCTTCCTTCCACTCTCCAATCTCTTTTTCAAAATCTATCTGGAAGAGTGATAAGGAAAACAGGACAATAGAGTGAAACAATTAGCTGGTAACACAAGAGTATTTTCCCATTATGACTAACAATACCGGGAGGGAGATGAGAGAGAGAGAGAGAGATATCCAAGTGTGACCCAATAAGTTCTATTCAAATGCTTGCTGTTTAGGAAACAGCTGCTAGAAACCCAGCTATCCCTACATGGAGATGTATATGCTGATGCCATCAAAATTTCTCACTACTACATGATCTAGTAATCCCACTTCTGGGTATAAATCCAAAAGCATTGAAATCAGGATCTCAAAGAGATACCTGCCCTCCCATATTCATTGCAGCATTTTTCACAAGTGCCAAGAGATGGAAACAACCCAAATGCCTATTGACAGACAAATGAATAAAGAAAATGTGGTATCTGCATACAATGAAATATTATTCAGCCTAAAAAAAAAAAGAAAAAAGAAAAAGAAGGAAATCCTGCCATATATGAGAACATGGATGATCCTGGAGGAAATTATACTAAGTAAAATTATTAACCCAGCCGCAGGACAAATACTGCATGATTCTATTCTTTAAGGTATTCAAAATAATTAAACTCATAGTAGCAGAATAGATGGTAGTTGCAGGGGTTGAGGGAGAGGAGGAAATGGGGGTTGTTGTTTAATGGATATAAAGTATCAGTTATGCAAAATGAATAAGATCTGCTGTACAGCTTAGTCCCTACTGTTTACAATACTCTATTGTACATGAAAAATTTTTGTTAAGAAGATAGATCTCGTGTTAAATATTCTTACCACAAACAAACAAAAAACCCCCAAAGGGCACAAGGAAACTTTTGGAGGTAATAAATATGTTGTTACCTTGATTATAGTGATGGCTTCACAGGTGTATGCATATGTCCAAATTCATCAAATTAAATACATTAACCATGTGCATTTGTGTGTGTGTATCATTTATATCTCAATAAGCTGTTAAACAAAAACTCACTACCAGTGGCTAAAACTGAATCATCTATAACTACTCTATGGCTATGCTAGTTGACTCCTTTGATTTTTCAAAGCTGAGGCTGTTTTAACCTGCAGAACACCTGTAGATGTTAAGAGTTTGAGAGTGCAAATAAACTTAAATGAAAGAAAGTAAAGGTCAGAATTACTATTTCTGGGAACTGCCTTCTATTGGTTTATTTCCTTCTTACTTTTTTTCCGACTGTGATCTTTTGCCTATCTTTGTTTTTTCTTCTTACAACCACGTCTCATCTTTCGTTATCCCTAGCCTCTTCCTCTTTCAGAAAAAAAACAAGCATTTAAAATCACTTTCTAAATCCTGCAAATGCATAGTCTCTTTATTCCTTACTCCTTTGCACTTTGGAGGGGGAAAAATTTACACTCATTTGTCTTTTTATTTTTAGTCAGTCTAAAAAATACTTTAAGACTTCTAAAAGTCACATTATAAAAGCTAAAGGCTCAATACATAACAAATAAAATATTCGAAGGAATTATAAGGTAGAAACCAAAGCTGCTTTCAATTCTCCCAAATTCTTATATTACAAAAGATGATAACAGATAATATTAAGCAGATCAAAAGTGAAATGTCACTGCCACAGCATATACAAACTGAAAAGAGAGAAAAATACAAGGTAATTAATCCAAATTACTCTAGTTAAGACTTTAAAGTTTTCATTCTTATAAATATTTCATGTTTACACTAGCTTTTTGAAAATGATCTTTCAAGAAAGAGGTCCTATAATGACACTTGCATTCTTACAGTTATTTTAAGACTTTACTGTATACTTATTAATTGAAATTCAATTAAAAGGTCTTTCCTATGCTTTCTGAGGTCCTGGGTAATTCCAATTCCTGAATTGTTCCTGGGTTCTGCAGAATAAACTGTTTTGTTTATGACTATGAAGAGCTTATTCCAAGAATTAATATTTAGGAATTATATTAATATAATTTTGCATATTATTAAGTCAGCATATTCTTGAGAAAAACGATAAGATTATTTAAATAGATGCGAAAAGGTATTTGATATGTCAAAATTTACGACAAAAGATTTTACCTAGACAAGAATCAGGAAGACCTGTGGGAGGAGCTCTCCAACCCTATGTCCTCAGGAAAACCCTATAAAAAGAACTCTGTTTACAACAGAGCTCTATGGCTGTAACAGCCCCTCTCCTTAACTTCCTTTTCCCCCTTGTAAAGGGTTTTTCCCCACTTCTTATGGAGTGTGTGCACAGGACTTGCCATGTCTGCATCTACAGGAATGCAATCCTTTCTTTTACCCCTGAAAAAATCCCTTTTGGTGAAGGAGCACCTACTTGACTTGTCTTATGGTCAACAGATAAAAATTAACAGTCATTTTTGGTTTCAAACATTTTTAGTAAGCGAAGAATATGTACAGTACTTCTCAGGTTGGTGGACCCTTACCTCAACATGGTCTTGTCTGAATTTCATATTGTGGAAACTCCTCCAATGTTTGTTCTAGCATGCTGATGGAGATCACACCCAGTTTGTAGTACAGATATCAATTTCCTTTTCTTTCTCTCCCTTCTTCCCTACCCTCCCTCCTTCTATTTTATCATGTCCCTTCAGCCACTGCAGTAGAAATTTTGAAGAGAATTAAGTTAAACTCATATTCTTGCATTGGAAGTACCAAGTCCAAATCTTAACTAAACTAAATTGAGTTCATTTACTGGCCCTGCCACTTACTAGCCATGGGATTTTGAACCTATTACCTAATCTCTCTGAGCTCAATTTCCTCATCTATGAAAATGGGCACAACAATAACATCTATCCAATAGACTTGTTGGGAAGACTGTATGAATGATAATGTAAGAAAAGCCCTTAGTTCCCATGACTTTTTGTAGCTGCTAATAAAAAAAAAAGTAAAGCACTTAGCATGATGTTGCTACTACTACTGTTGTTTCTAACAACAATAATAAATATTATTATAGTAATAATAATCTCCTTCCTACATGTAAAAGAATTACACACTTGGATTAAATTCTCTTTCAAAGAAACATTTGCCATCTAGGAAAATTTTGCTTCTATAAAATTATAAGTTTTTCACTTCCAAATAAAGACAAATTTGTATTCCCTACATAACCCTGGAGTATTGAGCTCACAGGGACTCATTCATTAGCATTTATTGTACCCCCACTATGTACTAAGCACTTTTCTAAGTGCTGAATTAGTTACAGTAAAACACCAAACCAAAGGAAAAGATAACTAAAAAGATTTCAAAAATAGTGTTTTGTTTTTGCTTTTTATGGATATCCAAAACCCACAAATATAAGGATATGGCTCTGTGGCCAAGTATGCCCCTTTGGCCAAGTATTGTTTGGAGAAAAATATAGGCTAAGGTTGTTGGTAAGGAAAACACATCCATGTATAACAAGAAGTTCCAAGAACAGCTTCTAAACAAGAATTACAGTGATAAAACACTGCAATCTTTATATGGAATATATGGTGCAAGGACTCATGTACTATAAGGAAGGATGTTTTGAAAAGTGTTAAAATCTAACAACTTGCAAGCGGAAGTCTTAAGAAATAATCCCACAAGAGTCAAAACCTGTTGTTACTGTTAAGTCTCTTTAATTATATTGTTTGAGGTTATGTGCTTTTAAGAAACAGAAAACACTGAGGGTAGCATTTCTTTTGTCTTTCCTTTTTCCTCCATCTTTTCTGTCTACAACCTTTTTTGGGAAGTTCTAATCAAGTGAGTACATTGTAGTTGTTCTGAAAGAAACAAGAGATTTTGAAAATGTACTGACAGACCCCAAACAATAAATGCATGTGTACCCTAAAGCCTGAACACCGCTTTGGGACCAAGATCTTTTAACCCTTTAAAGGCAAAGACAAGAAGTAGGTCTTATTTATTCTGACACTTAAGTGTAACTGGATTGACAAAGCAATTTCATAGCCTAAGGATGACCTACCTGAGAAAACTCTCTCTGCAGTCCCTAACTCCAAATGACACATTATTTCTTTTTAAAATTATTACATCCCCATAACTTACATTTTTTATAACTCACATTTGTACCTTTTGACTCCTTTCACCCATTTTGCCTATCCCTGAACTCTGACAACCATTAATCTGTCTCTGTGTCTATGAGCTTGGTAAGAAACATTATTTCAATATGTAATATATGCACATGGTAAATAAGATTCAGAAGGTGTCAAAAGTATTTAATTTTTCGAGGAGAACCAAGATGGTGGCATAGGTTAATGCCGGAGATTGCTGCCTTGAACAACCAAATCAAAACACACCTAAAAGACGGAACGGACAGCACCCAGAACCACAGGAAGGCTGGCTGAGTGGAAATTCTACAACTAGGAGGAAAGAGAATATCATACCCAGACTCAGAGGAGGCGCATTGCTGAAGTGAAATACTCAGGTACGGAGTGCGCGCGGAGCGGGCTGGCGGCGGAGGGCGCAGTTGGTGCTTTCAATAGGGAGGGAGTCTCAGATTCTGAGCTCCAGATCCGGGCGAGTCTCTAGGGACCCAGACTCAAATGGGAGAAGTGGGACTGTCTGGCTTCAGTCGGAACTCGAAGGCAGCTTTCTCTCCAAGGTTTGCAGCGGTTGCTGGGGCTCTGTGAGGCAGAGACCCTAGGGACGGAACTGAGAGCCACCATAACTGCTCTCTCCAGCCCACCCTGTTGATCCCAAGCCCGAGCGACCCACCCGCCCCGCCCAAGCCCTGCGCAGAGCCATTTGCCAGATAGCCTCAGGCAAAGGCTAGATTAGCACCTCCCTAGAGGACAGAAGTTTTCCCACTGCAGACACAGCTGATTATCACAGCCAGCTGGCCTGGAGGTCAAATCCCCCTAGTATTAACTACAACAATCAAGGCTTAACTACAGGAGGACTGCACACAAAGACCACTAGGGGGTGCACCAAGAAAGCATTAAAAAATGCGGAGACAAAGAAACAACAAAACTGTCAATGGAGGATATTCAGTTCAGAACCACACTTTTAAGGTCTCTCAAGAACTGTCTAGAAGCTGCTGATAAACTTAATGAGATCCTCAATAAAACTAATGAGACCCTCGATGTTATGATAAAGAACCAACTAGAAATTAAACATACACGGACTGAAATAACGAATATTATACAGACTCCCAACAGCAGACCAGAGGACCGCAAGAATCAAGACAAAGATTTGAAATGCGAAGAAGCTAAAAACACCCAACCGGAAAAGCAAAATGAAAAAAGAATCCGAAAATACGAAGATAGTGCAAGGAGCCTCTGGGACAGCTTCAAGCGTACCAACATCAGAATTATAGGGGTGCCAGAAGATGAGAGAGAGCAAGATATTGAAAACCTATTTGAAGAAATAATGACAGAAAACTTCCCCTACCTGGTGAAAGAAATAGACTTACAAGTCCAGGAAGCGCGGAGAACCCCAAACAAAAGGAATCCAAAGAGGACCACACCAAGACACATCATAATTAAAATGCCAAGAGCAAAAGACAAAGAGAGACTCTTAAGAGCAGCAAGAGAAAGAAACTCAGTTACCTACAAGGGAGTACCCATACGACTGTCAGCTGATTTCTCAACAGAAACTTTGCAGGCCAGAAGGGAATGGCAAGAAATATTCAAAGTGATGAATACCAAGAACCTACAACCAAGATTACTTTATCCAGCAAAGCTATCATTCAGAACTGAAGGTCAGATAAAGAGCTTCACAGATAAGGATAAGCTAAAGGAGTTCATCACCACCAAACCAGTATTATATGAAATGCTGAAAGGTATCCTTTAAGAAGAGGAAGAAGAAGAAAAAGGTAAAGATACAAATTATGAACAACAAACATGCATCTATCAACAAGTGAATCTAAGAATCAAGTGAATAAATAATCTGGTGATCATAATAGAATCAGGGACATAGAAAGGGAATGGACTGACTATTCTTGGGGGGAAAAGGGTGTGGGAGATGCGGGAAGAGACTGGACAAAAATCGTGCACCTATGGATGAGGACAGTGGGTGGGGAGTGAGGGCGGAGGGTGGGGCGGGAACTGGGAGGAGGGGAGTTATGGGGGGAAAAAAGAGGAACAAATGTAATAATCTGAACAATAAAGATTTAATTAAGAAAAAAAAAAGTATTTAATTTTTCTTCTCATCCCTGTCCCCTACTTCCTAGTTCTCTACAACCCCATTCCCAAAAGTAATCACTATGCCAGTTTCTTGAATATCTTTTCTGAGATATTCTGAGTACATAAAGCATTGCATATGTATATATCCTTTCTCTAAAATATATAACGGAAGCACTTCACATTATACCTATTTTTCTATCATTGCCTTTTACAATATCTTTGTTTCACTATTTAAAATTTTTTAAACTGTGGTAAAATAACATAACATAAATGTACCATCTTAATAATTTTCAAGTATAGTGTTTATTAGTGTTATATTCACATTGTTGTTCAACCAATCTCCAGAACTTTTTTCATTTTGCAAAACTAGAAATATAAAACCCGTTAAAAAAAAAAACCTTGTTTCCCTCTCCCACAGTCCTGGGCAACCATTATTCTACTTTATGTTTCTATGAGTTTGATTACTCTAGGTACCTCATAAATGGAATCACATAGTATTTGTATTTTTGTGACTGGCTTTTTTCACTTTGCATGTCCTCAAGGTTCATCCTTGTTGTAGTATGTGTCAAAATTTCTTTCCCTTTTAAGATTGAATAGAATTGCATTGTATGTATATATTATATTTTATTCATCCATTTACCTGTCAATGGGCATTCATTTCACTATTTTTGATTACTGCATAATATTCTGTTTTATAGATGTTCCACAATTCAGTTAATCAGTCCTTCATTAAGTTATTTGTAATTGTATTTGTTTTATAATTTGCTGTATAACTAATTCCCACAAACTTGATGGCTTAAACAACACAAATTATAGTTCTGAAGTCAAGAGTCCTGCTATCAAAGTGGTGGCAGACCCATGCTTCTTCTGGAAGCTTCAGGGGAGTATTATGGACTAAAATATGTTCCTCCAGCCAAAATTTTATGTTGAAGTTCTAATTCCTAGTACTACATAATGTGACTTTATCTGGAGATATGGTCTTTAAAGAAGTCATTAAGTTAAAATGAGGTTATTAGGGTGGGCCCTAATCCAATATGACTGGTGCCTTTATAAGAGGAAGAGATCAGGACACACACATGCAGAGGAAAGACAATGTAAAGACCGAGGGAGAGGACAGACATCTACAAGTCAAGGAGAAAGGCCTGAGAAAAAAATCAACCCTGGGAATACCTTGTCCTCTGACTTCTAGCCTCCAGAATATAAGAAAATAAATTTTTGTAGTTTAAGCCCCCGTCTATGGTACTTGTTATGGCAACCCTTACAAACTAATACAGGGAGAATAATTTCCTTGCCTTTTCCTTGCCTCCCTTCCTCCATCTTTAAAGTCAGCAAAAACGGATTGTCTTTCTCATAT